GGTAAACAACATCATTTATTAGAGATTTTTTCCAAATTTTTTTATTTTTAGTTAGAAAATATTTATAGAATTTTCACTTAACAAATTTACAGACAAATTGTAATTACTTAAATACTTATACACTTCTACAAGTTAAATTTTAGTGTTAATGCTGCTTTAAGAAATAAATTAAAAATTTTTTTATCAAGGATTACTCAAGATTTTTTAACTTTATCAAGTTTTTATACAATATTATTTTATAACAATATGGCTTTTATTTGTTCTTGATTATGTAGAAAATTAATTAAACCTTGAAAAGTTTTGTTTAAAACAAGATAAATTGTGAAGCATACTCGAAAACTGCTACCAGCAGATTGAGGTCAAAATTTAATAAAATCAAGCCACTCTCAGCAACTTGTGGTAGTGAAAAGGTAATATAAAATAACTGTTTTAATAGAATCATTATTAAAGATAATAATCATTCAATAACAATAAATATAACACAAAAATAATTTATAGCAATAGACAAGCTTAAAAATCTAAATTATTTTATTTATATTTTTTAATGCGAACTTTGTAAAAATAACTAAAAAAAAATAATTTAAAATAACTAAAAAATTTTTATAGTAAATAACTTTTATATAATAGGAAACAAATAAGTAAGTAAAATAATAACAAGTTCTTTAGTAATCTTTAATGAATTTTTTTTTTTTTTTGTAATTTGATGAAAAATATAATTTTTAGATTTCTTATTGAAATTCTTTAATGATGTCACATACTAAAATACTTTAGAGTTAAATGCGCTTGAATAAATTATAAAGTCTGTAGATTGAGGAGTATATTTTAAAGACTTAAAGTAACTGGCTAACCTGTATTCAACAAGCTTAGAGTAAAACAATAAAGTTATTTTTTCTTGGTTTATGTTAATTATAAACCAAGAAAAAATAACTTTCAGAAGAAGAGTACCTATATTGGAAAAGAATAAAAAAATAACCGTCAGAAGAAGAATACCTATATTGGAAAAGAATGCTACAAACATATATCTTAAAGCTAAACTATTAGATACAGATAAATTAGATGTTTTATTTGTTCTATGTGGTGCTAAATCCTTCCCACTCATCAAGAATCAATTGAATTTTGAAGATGCATTAACTATTTTAGACAATAAATTTTCAAAAAAAACTACACCTATAATGATGCGTCACAAGCTAAGATCAACATAACAACTTGAATCAGAGTCTGTCAACCAATTCATGGAAAAATTACAAACTTTAGTAAGAAAATGCCCCATAAAACCACTAACCGCAAACTAACATAAATAAATGTTAATAAGTGATGCTTTTGTAGCTGGCTTTTTATCTCCAATGATTCGTCAGCGCCTCTTAGAATTATCTAACGACTCACTAGAAAAACTTCTACTTACAGCAACAACTATGAAACTAGCAATCGAAGACACTAAAATTTTTTCCTTACCTGAACAACCTCCTATTTTTGCAGCTACAAAACACTCTTGTATCTGGTGTGGGAGTCCACACCAGATACAAGAGTGACATGATAGGTCCCAATGCAATGCCCGAAACTCAACTTGCAATACCTGTGGAAAAAAAGGACACTGAGCAGCTTTCTGCTTAAGTAACAAACTAAATCAAAACAACAGCATAAAACCAAAACATCCAAATAAAACACCAATAAAGGGTGCAGTTACAAACTATAAGTGCAATAATGATATCAACCATGATAACATCCCACACACGGCCACAATCTTAGCCTCAATAAATCAAAAATCAGGACTGATAAATGCAATAGTCAATGGAATACCAATACAAGCCCTTATTGACACAGGCTGTGACTTATCATTTATCTCTCTAAATTTTATGTCTGAGAACAATCTTAACTTTAACGCAAATATCATGAAATCAATCTGTCTTGCAGATAATTCACCCGCACAAATTATTGGCCAATGTGACAGTACCTTAATAATAGGGAACCACTCATATTCAACCAAACTCTTTGTAGTAAAACAGCCTTGCCCTATCTTCTATGAAATGTAAATTGTATGAACTTATTCCTGGAATCGACACATCCCAACCCACTCCAATTGCAACATCTTCACAACGACACAATCTGAATACGGACTTTATTAATAGTGAAATTACTTGGGTCTTAAATGATGATGTTATTCAAATCAGTCAAAGCCCCTGGAGAGCCCAATGCTTTGTCACAAACATATCGAAAAAACCTTGTCTAGTAATCAACTTCTCCAACACCATAAATATACATACTCCTCTGGATTCTTACCCCTGTCCTAGAATAGATGACCTACTAAATAAGGTAGCTATAAACAGTATATTCAGTAAAATAGATCTAAAAAATGCTTATCACCAAATCCCACTAAAAAAGAAAGATTATTTATTGACTGCCTTCGAAGCTAATGGAAAGCTGTATGATTTTAAAAAATTCCCATTTAGATGCACAAATGCAGTAGCCATCTTTCAATGCATCATGGATGATTTTGTCTCAAAATACCAACTATAAAAAACTTACCCTTATCTAAATGACGTTATTATATGCAGATCTAATCAAGAAGAACACGATAAAAACCTCTCAGCATATAAAATAGCTGCAAAAGTGTAAGATTTCTCAAACCTTACTCTGCTTTCTTGGACACCTAATAGAAAACAAAACGTTGAAACCAGAACCCGAAAAGTTCCAGGCCTTACAACATTATCCTATTCCAACTAACACTAAACAATTAAACAGCTTGATAGGCTTCTTTGCATACTATGCTAAATGGATCCCTAACTGCACCAACCTAACTACCATTCTGACTAGTTCTCGTGACTCAATAAGCAAAAATATCCCTCTTTCAGAGGAAGCTACCTCTGCTATTAAACAACTAAAAGATCAACTAACCACAGC